TTCTTCTTCTTCTTCTTCCTCTTCTTCTTCTTCTTCCTCTTCTTCTTCTTCTTCTTCCTCTTCTTCTTCTTTTCTTCTTTTTCTTTTTCCCTTTTCTTTCTTTTTATTTTCCTTGCTATTTTTCAGCAACTTTAAAATCATGTTTTACATTCTTCTGACTTTTAGAACAAAAAGGTAATATTCAGGAGCCTGAAAGAACTGAGAAGAATAAGTTTTCATCAGTTTGCATTTATTTCCTGAAAATATTTAGCAAATCTCTGTGGGAAAAGGAGAGGATGTAATTCAGGCTATAATGTGGAGCCCAGGAAATTAGTGAGTACTGATTATTAATTCTGAGATTGTTATTGGAAAAAAAAGGTGCAAAAAATTGTATTCCTGCCCCAAAGATATTTCTTTAATTTTTGAGTAGTTTTAAACATGTTAGATCAAGTCTAGACTAAAATTTTTTACATTTGAAGAACCCAACCACTGTAATGCTCTGTAATTGTTAATAAAACTGTTTATATAAAATCCTGAAAACTAAATGGTATTAGGAAGTTAATGACATGAATTACTCCTTGAATTAATTCTTCATTCCTGGAAATAATTGTAAATATAAACATGAAAGTATGGTGTTCTTAATCTGATGTCATGTGAATTTTTATCTTGTGACTGTATAATTCCACAGAAAAATTACWAGGTAATTACAAGGTATAACTCTTGGCAGAAGCTTAACATGTTTGTTTTTAATCACATTTTAATTTGTACCAAAAAAAAAAACCTGAAAAATGTACAATATTTTAAAGCATTAATTAAAAAAGAAAATGACCCACCAGTAAGAGATTTAATTCATCATATTTTCAAATCTCATCTCTGATTTTMAATATAAAAGCATATTTGAGACTTATTTTATATCACTGTTGATGTAATTAGAAAATAATGAACCACATGACTTGAAGGATTTATACTGAGGGGATGTTTTATTTTTTTCTTCCAATGGAGGGCTTGGGTTGTTAYTTTAATGATATCTTTACTTTCACTGCACCAAAGATAAGCGGGAGTGATTCAGTGGCAGTTGTTAAAAGTTGGACAAATAGAGATTTTAAGAAATTCTAAATTTTCTAAATTCTAAATTTAAGAATTTCTAAATTTTAATTTAGAAATTCTGTTCTTCAGGAACAATTTATTTCATCTTGGACTTAACCCATCTACTCTATGAATGATGATTTTGACATCTGCCAAGGGATTATTAGCATGGATTCCAAAATAATTTGATATGGCATTTCTGACATACAAATGGGACCTACAGCTGCTGTAAGGGCAGTATTGTTTTTTGGAAKGGCATTTGCAAGGCACATACAATAGTCCTGGAGATATCAAATTGTGTTAAATGTTTTTATTTTGATCAGAATCACCAAATGTCTCCATTTTCAGTTGTCACTGTGGACTGTAGATGTCAGCTACACTTTTGCAGCAGATTTGGTCACGATTCCATTGAATTTATGGATGGATTTTGGATGTGATGGGAATTCAGGCACACAGTGGGTCTGTACACACCTGCAGCTGGAGGCAGGTTCCATCCCAAATAATTGATATTTATGTGCCCAAACTGCCATGAAACAAAGACAAAWCACACGTGTAAAGCCCAGGAGCTCCTTTTGCAGGCTTGGCTCAATAGCCTGAAGGCAGATTATTGTCAATATCTCAAACAAATATTCCARATTGGGAATATTTGGAACCTAATATTGGGTTAGGTGGGATATCAAGGAACAGTTTTGCACCCAGAGGGTGGTTGAGCTCTGGAACAGACTCCCCAGGGCAGGRGTCTCAGCACCAGCCTGACAGAGCTCAGAAGTGTCTCCACAATTATTTCAGACATGTGGGGTGTGGTTCTTGGGGTGTGCAGGCCAGGAGCTGGACTCAATCCTGACAGGTTCCTTCCAGCTCAGGGTTTTCTGTGATTCCCTTACAGATTTTCCTTTGCCTTCCTGACAGTCTATTTGCCAAAATCCTCCCAAAGCTGACCTTCTCTGTCCTCAGCCCTGGACATTRCAGGGATAATGTTTCAGTCTCACAGCAAATCTGCTGTGAAACAGCACAGTTATCCTTGTGCTAATGGTTATTTTGACCTTAAATTGGGACAGATCAGGGACTAACTGCAGCATGGCAGGCTTCAGTCACTGATATTATAAATATCTTTAATTTACCTSTGTCTTTCAGTTTCTCCTGCTTTTCCCCTGTGCCTTGCTCATGTCCCTTGCTTCCTATTCCCTCTTCTCAAGAAAGTTTCTTTCCAAGCCACTGAGTGCACACATCCCAAGACATTTGAGTTTCACCAAGTTTTAACTAGGCCTTTGTGTTTACTGAGTCCCTCCCAGGAGAGATTCTGGGCTGTAGAGAATTGGGGAGAGGGCAAATCACCAGCTAGGAAAGTTCTTAATCTCAGGAGTGAGTCTAATTGCACAAGTCCTCGTTAGCTCCAGCTAATTGCCCTTAGCTTTGTACCAAACACAAATATTTCATTTTCTGAAGGAATGGCAGGATCACAGTGATACAAATCTGAATGAGACTGGGAACATTGCTCTCTTTTGATGCTACACCCTTGTAACAGCAGAGCTGGAGAGARTTAGGATTTTTAAAAAGCTTCAGAAGAGCTGCAGGGGCTGTTGGGATGTTGCATTGAGTTCATGAGGCCAACATACACCTGCATCCTAAGAGGTTTAGATCTGGCCAGAGATTAACAAACCTCTTCCATGCCTTGGTTCCTCCTTTTCCTCCCAACACCTTAGAAAATTACCCTGGGTTAAACTTGCTGAAATCGAGGTTTTGTTCAGCAAATGGAACTGTGGAAGTCAGAGTGACCTGTGCTCTGCTCCATGGACAACCACACACACAAAACCCTCTGCAACTCTTCACTGACAATACAGAAGGAACTGGACACCCTGGGGAGATGGGGCTGTGCCAACCTCATCACCAGCAAGGCCATGAGCACATGTGGGTCAGGACAATCCCTGGCACACCAAAAATCTGGGTTGAGAATGAATGGACACCAACCCTGAAGAGAAAGCTGTGGGGATTTGGGGATGGGGAAGCTCAGTATGGCTTGGCAATGCATGCTTGCAGCCCAGCAGGCTGATTTCATCTGCTATGGGTCAAAAGGATCATGGCCAGGTCGAGGGGGTGATTCTACATTAATTAATTAATTAATTAATTAAGTCAGTCAGTCATTGAGTCATTCCTTCTTTCCTTCATTCATTCCTTCATTCCCTCATTCCTTTATTTCCTCATTCCCTCATTCCTTCATTCCCTCATTCCCTCATTCCTTCATTCCAAGCTCCTCAGGTTCATTCCATCACCAGGACTTTCCTGATGTCTGACAGCAGTGAAACATCTCAGATCTGGTACATCCACAGTGGAAATTCTCTTTTTTGCTGGTGACCCCGGTGCAGCAGGGCTGGGGAAGATGCTGCTGTGCAGACGCTGCTGTTCCTGGCTCACAAAGCAGCAGCTTGCAATGAGCGCTGCGGGCAGCAGATGGAAGCAGCAGCCTGAATCTGTGCTGCAGGCACCATCTGCAGAGCCAGAAATGCCAACAGCATCCAGAGCTGCTGCTGAAGAAGGCAGAGCTGGGAGAGGCTGTGTCTGTGTGCAGGTTGCTCAGCAGATTTGCAAAACCGTGTCACGAGSATTGCTGGAGGTGCTTCAGAAGATGGCTTTGTGTACAGCTGGAAAATTCATTGTCAGTGGAAAATAGTGTGATCAGACTGACCTTCATAATGTGAAAAGACTGACCTTCATAATATAAAAAAACTGACCTTAATAGTGTGAAAAGACTGACCTTAATAGTATGATGAGACCGACCTTCGTAATGTGAAAAGTCCGACCTTCATAATGTGAAAAGACTGAGCTTAATAATGTGCAAAAACTGACCTTATAAGTGTGAAAAGACTGACCTTGATCTCCTTGCTGAGCTCCATTCACCCTGCACCCCACTGACCCGCTCTGGCTCTGTGTTTTTCCCACTCCCCCAGTCTCGACATTGCTGCCCTGTGCTGCTCCATCCATTCCCACCCCGCACTCAGCCCTGTCCAGGCACATTTCCTTATCAGCCTGGATGTGCTGTGCCCTGCTCCCATCCAACCTGACCCACAGCACAGTAGCTCTATTTTTAGAGGCCATAATTCCCTTGTTAAATTGTTGATTTGTCAGAGGTTTGTCCTCGGGGCATCACAGACTGCTCWGTTCTGATCCACCCTTGGCTCCACCTGAGCTCTTGGCACTCATCCTGCCCCATCCACAGCCAGTCCTGCATTCACAGCTGCACTGGGCTGGGCTGGCACCGTTCCAATGCCCTGGGCACGTTCAGCCTCGTGCCTTTTCCTCCTCCTCCATGTGACAAATAAAAAACTCAATTCACCAGAATGCTTCAGCTGAGCTTTCACACCAATTTTTATCTGAAAACTCTTCATTGTCACATYCCTCTTGTCGGGCCCTTTTCCAGCAACTTTTTACTGCCCAGTTTTTGGACAAATCAGGTTTGAGCATGGTGTTATCTTCTTGTTCTATTTTCAGATSTGGGAAACCACTCTTAAGGAATGCAACTTCAATAAAAGAGATGACACTGTTAAAATACCAAACAAGATTTATGGAGCAAAGAGCAACACATTCATAACAGATATTATGAAAATATATAACCTAGACAAATGAGAGATAATCCCATCCACTTCAACCTTCTGCACAGCCTGGTTCACTCATGTGTAAATGAGCTATCATCCATCAGATGGGTTTGAAAACGATCATTAAAATAGTTGAGTTTAAAGTGAAGCTAGTAATATATCATTCAAATTCTTAAATTATCATATTGTTAGGACTTCATCTTTTCAGCAAATCATATAACACAGCAGAAGACAAATATAATTGCACAACCTGATCTGTGGGGACCATCTGTAAATTTRCAAAGTGGCTTTATCCGGATGCCTAAATCCAGATCCTAAATACTGTCATTTTGAGTGTCATACACATCCTTGTCAATTTGAGATGTTCTCAGGATGGTGAGCAGCCTGTGCTTGTAAACATGCAGATGAAAGAGCTGTTGAAAAGCAATACGTTGGAATAAAGGTTGCTTACAGAAAAAAATTCTGGGTTTAGCAGTCTCTGACACCAGCTAAGGACTCAGCGCAGAAAAYGTGTGCAGCCCTCCAAACAGAGGGAAACCTGCTCTGCCCCACACGCTCAGCTTGGTGGGGCTGTGAAGAGGAAAAAATTGTCATTCTTTGTGCCAGGAGCTCACCTGGAGCTCTCCCTGTGCACGGAGCACATCCTCTTGACCCGGATGGCRCGGGGCGCGCTCAGCTCCGCGTCCCAGTAGTACTCGGGGGACAGCAGGCGCGTGGGCTTGTGCTGCACCAGGTACCTGTTGAGGTGACTCTCCTCATGCCASCGRGCYTCAATGCCCTTTTCTCTGTCWGCCCTGAGCCCTTCAGAGCAGGCTCTGGTCAGTTTGTAGAGCTCAGCCACGCTGCCCCCGTAGAAGCTGGCGGTGTAGTAGAAGTCGCCGTGTCCCTCGGGGATGGCGGCGCGCGACGCGGGGCGCCGCTCGTAGGATTTGTGCCTGTACCACGGGGTCARGTGCCAGGAGCTGATGGTTGCCACCAGTGCATCGATGATCTCCACCCCAATGGGTGCCAGCAGCTGGGAGTTGATGTCTATGGAGTACAGGTAGTCAACCTCGTGCTGGAAGTGGCTGTGGATGTAAGCGCTGATGATATCCATGTGGCTCGTGGAGATATCCGGCCACCTCGGGTCATTCTGGACAGGGATGACCAACAGGCGCTTCTCAGGGGCCATCTGCAGGGGAGGGATCTTCTCAGGATTGTCTGTGAACAAGTAGAAATTCACTGGGTGCCCAGCAAGGAAGTACTGGTTGGCAGATCTCATGAACCCTTCTATGAACTGGACACATCTAAGAGACATGGAAAGGGACAGAATGGAGAGAGGCTCCTCCTGTGAAGAATGACAGTTTTTAAAGTTTATTTTCTTTATTTTTTTTCTATCCATCCCTCCCTTCTTGTGCTAGTGCTCTTTATTTAACACAGCTTCTCCCTTTCAAACCTTCCCGTGCTGCTGCACATTATTCCAGATTTTGCCTTTCACTACATTCTGTTGTCCTTTCTGTGCTTTCATGCACAGAGTGCCTGCCTTCTGTAGGTACTGCTCTCTAATATCACTCTATAATGTAAATATTTCTTATTATTATTCCCTTTTTCCTGCTGCCTGGCATTCTTTCTGCAGTGTAACAACTTGCTAGAGAGAATCATGGAATTAACAATGAATCACTGAATGGTTTGTGTTGGAAGGGACCTTAAAGATCATCTCATTTCAGCCCCAGGGACACCTCCCACTGTCCCAAGGTGCTCCAAGCCCTGTCCAGCCTGGCCTGGGACACTTCTAAGGATCCAGGGACAGCCACAGCTTCTCTGGGCACCCTGTGCCAGAGCCTCCCCACCCTCACAGGGAAGAATTTCTTCCCAATATCCCATCTAAATCCACCCTTTTTCAATTCAAAGCCATCCTCCCTTGATCTGTCACCACCCACCTTCATGAAAAATCCCTCTCCCACTTTCCTGTAGGCCCTTTTAGGTACAAGAGGGGGCTCTAAGGTCTTCCTGAAGCTCAACCACCCCAGCCTGCTTTCATRGGAGAGGGTTGAAATTATAAATTGAATAGTTCTGCTTGCCTCAAAATACCTGAAGTTTCTATATAACTCTTAGATGCTTGTGGAGATAGAGGGAGGGTAGCTCCTTGCTCAGAAATCGATAAAGAACCTCCCCAAGAACATACAAACTATAACAGTGTGATTAATAATTCTACTAGAGCGAATATTTTACCTTCAAACTCTTACAGAAACCCAATAAAATCTCAACTTCACAGATTTTTTTCTATTTTTTTAGCACAGGATAGAGGGAAAGCTTGTTTTCATAAACATAGCAGGAGCTAACATTTTTTATCTCAAGGGGTCAAAATGCCAGTTGTATTTCCAAGGATATTTTTTGTCCTTTGAAAACAATGTCACAGCCTTACTCTGGAAGGTGACACTCACATTTCTCCCAGTCTAAAGCTGCTCATGTTTAGTTTTTGGAACATTCCCTCACTTTTGCCCCACAAGCAGTATTACAGCGTGACCAGCAGATGAGAGTTTAACAATTTAACAAGAAATAAATGACAAACCAATACTTTTCGACAGCGAAAGTGACCACTCCGGTGACCAARTTCCTCTGCACATATTGAGCATTTAGGATGTCTCTGCTGAAAGTGCCTTCCCAGACAATTGGAGCCAGCCACGGYGTCAACACGGGTACGTCCTGCCTCCTGCAAGGAGGGGAAAATGAAGGCAGAGTTTGGGTGAAATTCATGGAGACAAACAGAAATTTCTGAGTTAATCATCCCAGCCTCCCTCTGAAATCAGTAGGGGTCAAGAAATCAGCAAAATCTGAGCTATGAGCCATCTTATCCTGGAGCAGGCGCCTAAAATAATTGCCTGTCCTTGAATTTTACCCACCAGCTCTCAAGTTGTTCGTGGCTGTTACTCAAAGGCAGCTTTTCACAA